CACGTTGAGGTCATAGATGGACGACCTTTATTGTCTGGTAGTGTCACCCATGAATCAGAACTTATAGAAGTGACGTTTAAGGACCATAGTAGTCATATTATTTTCAATATTATTAGAACCCCATTAAATCCTGTTATTCTTAGTCTTTCCTGGTTGGGAAAGCATAACCCATCCATAGATTGGAAGTTGCGGAAGATGACCTTTCCCACAAAACCACCCAACAGCAAGCCTAGTAGAAAACCCCGAATACAGAAATCCTTATTTATTGGAGCAAGAGCATTTATAAGATTGTCTAAGTGAGGCACACCATTTGTCATTTATGTGGCTCCAACTACCGGGGAGAAGATCTCGACAGCAAGTATACCGGAGCAATATAAAGATTTTAAAGACGTGTTTCAAAAGCAAAATGCTGACATGCTACCGGAACATAGATCATATGATTGCGACATAGACTTACAGAAAGGAGCACAACCGCCTTTTGGCCCAATCTACAATCTATCGCAGATGGAGTTGGCGGAGTTGCGGAAGTACATCGACGAGAATCTAGCCAAAAACTTCATCCGTCATTCAAAATCATCAGTTGGAGCACCCATCTTATTTGTGAAGAAGAAAGATGGCTCGTTGCGGATGTGCGTGGACTATCGAGGCCTCAACAAGGTAACAAAGAAGAATCGTTACCCGTTACCCTTGATTTCTGGTCTCTTAAAACAACTTGGATGTGCAAGGATCTTTACAAAAATTGATCTAAGAGGAGCTTACAACCTCGTACAAATCAAAGAAGAAGATGAGTAGAAGACAGCGTTCCGTACAAGGTATGGCCATTTTGAATATAATGTCATGCCCTTTGGTCTTACCAATGCTCCAGCGGTCTTTCAACATATGATGAATGACATTTTCCGAGAGTACCTTGATGATTTTGTTGTCATCTATTTGGATGATATTTTGATATTCTCCAAAAATGAGGAATTGCATGAAAAACACGTTCGTTTGGTATTGGAGAAACTACACGAGCGAGGACTATATGCCAAGTTGGAGAAGTGTTTATTTCACCAAATAGAGATGGAGTTTCTGGGATTCGTTGCGACTACGGAAGGCTTGAAGATGGACTCCAAGAAGGTGGAAGCAATCGTGTCCTAGGAGGTTCCGAAGATGGTTAGAGATGTACAATGCTTTCTTGGTTTTGTCAACTTCTATCGGATCTTTATCAAGAATTACTCTCAAGTTGCTGCTCCTCTCACTCGATTGACATGCAAGGATAAGCTGGAATGGGGACCTCTGGCAGAGAAGGCGTTTCAAAACCTGAAGACCGCATTTACTACGGCTCCAATCTTGATACATCCAGACTTTACAAAGGCCTTCTATTTAGAAACTGATGCTTCAGATTTTGCTTTGGAAGCTGTACTTTCACAAATGGAAGAAGATAAGAAGCTCTATCCGGTTGCATTCTATTTTCGAAAATTCTCTGTTGCTGAAATCAATTATGAGATCCACGATAAGGAACTTCTTATTATAGTGGATTCTTTCCAAGAATGGCGTCACTTTCTTGAAGGAGTTGCACATCCAGTGACCGTATAATCAGATCACAAGAATTTGGAGTATTTCATCTCGGCTTGAGCTCTAAATCGACGTCAAGCTCGATGGAGTATGTTGCTATCTAGGTTCGATTTTATTATCACTTATCGACCTGGAAAGCAGCAAGGACTATCTGATGCCTTATCAATGAGATCGTATCTTGTACCAAAGGCTGAAGAAGCAGCGTTTGATCAACAATGTATGACATTGTTGAAGCCAGAGCAATTTTAGCTTTGCGCTACTATTATGCCAATTGATGCTGACTTCCTGAATAAGGTACGTGTCGTAACCATTGAAGATTCAGTAGCCATTGATATTAAGCAGCGTGCCAATGACGACAAGTTCAAGGTGGAGGGAGATCTTTTATACTTTGAAGAGCGGTTATATATTCCAAAAGGACCAGCACGACTCCGAGTTCTTCAATCTCGCCACGATTTTCCAGCTGCGGGACATTTTGGATTCAACAAGACCTTGGAGCTTATTTCTCGAGATTTTTGGTGGCCTCAAATGTGGAAGGATGTGAAAGATTTTGTCTTCTCCTACGACATCTGTTCAAGATCCAAGAATCCTCGGCATCGCCCTTATGGACTCCTACAGCCATTCTCGATTCCACGTCGACTATGGTCTTCAATTTCCATGGACTTCATCACGGACCTGCCATCATCAAACTCATTTGACAGCATCTTTGTCGTGATAGATCGGCTTACAAAAATGGCACACTTTGTCCCTTGCAAGAAGACATCGTCCAGTGAAGTCACAGCAAGGCTCTTTCTCGATAATGTGTATCGATATCATGGACTACCAGATGATATCGTATCAGATCGAGGAACCCAGTTCGTATCAAAGTTTTGGAGATCTCTCTTTGAGATACTGAAGGTGGATATCAAGCTTTCTTCGGCTTTTCATCCTCAAACTGACGGTCAAACGGAACGGGTGAACCAAGTCTTGGAACAATACTTACGATGCAGCATCAACTATCAGTAAGACGATTGGACCACATATCTGCCGCTAGCCGAGTTTGCATATAACAACACCCTCCATGTGTCGACTCAATACACACCATTCTTTTCCAACTATGGGTATCATCCAAAGCTTGATTTATTGAGTCCATCAATAAATAACAATCCAGGAGCTAAAGGATTTGCGAAACAACTATCAGAGCTTCAAAATATGTTGAAGCTTCAATTACAATCCGCTCAAGAATCCTACAAGGTGTCTGCAGATAGATTTCGGAATCGAGCACCTACTTTCAAAATTGGAGATAAAGCATGGCTTCTTCGACGGAATATCAAGACCAAGCAACCATGTGATAAGTTGGACTATCGAAGATTGGGACCATTTATCATCCAAAAGCAAATCAATCCAGTGGCGTACCGTCTGGAATTACCGGCTTCTATGAAGGTACATCCAGTCTTTCATGTTTCTTTGTTGGAGCCTTATCAAGAGTCATCTTTTCCTGGAAGAGTGCAATGTCCGCCACCTAGTATTGAGATCGAGAACCACGAGGAATACGAGGTTGAAAAGGTGCTAGATTCTCGGTAAAGGTGGGGCAAGTTGGAGTATCTTGTTCATTGGTGCGGCTACGATATTAATGAGCGAACGTGGGAGCCAACTGAAAATCTCACCAATGCGCCGCAAAAGGTACAGGAGTTTCATCAACAACATCCTTATAAACCTAAGCTGGTTCGACAATAGCTTCTTTCTGAAGCTTGCTCACCCAAGAATATAAGAAAGGGAGAGAGCACCACCAAAATTTGTAGTTGATGTAGTTATTTTCTCCAAGATAAAATAGAATTTTTTCAGTAGCCATAGTTTGGTCTTCTGATATGGATAGCCAAGAGATAGATACTATGTCAGTCAGATTATCTCAACCAACTAGTTCACGAAGGCGACCCCGAGATGAAGAACCACCTGTACCACGACGACGACGGAGGATACCAAGTAACCGATCACTGGTGATTGTATTTGAGTCCGAGCCTGTTTACGATGGTCAACCAGAAGGCATATTTGCAAGACAATTTCACAATGAAGACACGGAAGTTCATGCTTAGTCAGAAGTTGAAAGAGTGGGCCACTACCGTTGGCTTGAAGGGCCGATGAACCACTTACCTCGTGAACAACAGTTGGAGTTCATAGCAGACGTTATGCGACAGATCTTCATTTTCTTGCGTTGGTACTGATTAATAACAACATTGCTTCTCAGAGACCTCGAAGCTAAAGGAGGGGGTGATGTTAGGGACATAGTCCTTAGAACCTTCTAGAGACAAGTTTCTAGAACCTTCTAGAGACAAGTTTCTAGAACCTTCTAGAGACAAGCTTCTAGAACCTTCTAGAGACAAGCTTCTAGAACCTTCTAGAAGCAAGTCTCTGGAACCTTCTAGAAGCTTCTTAGTTGGTAGAAGATGTTAGGGACATAGTCCTTAGAACCTTCTAGAGATAAGTTTCTAGAACCTTCTAGAAGCAAGTCTCTGGAACCTTCTAGAAGCTTCCTAGTTGGTAGAAGTTGCTTGAGAAGCTTCCTAAATAGGAGTATATATTGGGATCGAGGCTGAAGAGTTCTTCAGTCTCGACAACACATCTCTTGGAGCTCTAACTCACCTCTCTGGTGTTGTTCTTGTATTCATCTAATTAATCTAGTTCTTGCCAGTTCTTCTTGAACTTCTTGGTAGATATCAAGTCTGTATTCTGTGTCTGTGACATTATATTGATAACATATTGAGAATGTTTGAAAAGATACAAAAGTGGCTGGAAGTAATACAAAAAATACACACATACAAAGCAAGAGTATATTGATGTGGTTGTCTCTTACATTCAAAGAGAAGGGGAGGAGATAAACAATTTTTCTCTACTACATTCCAAATACTATAACTATAATATTTACTGTAAACTATAAAAAATCCTATGGGGAGCACCAACTACATTTAATACTCTCAGAAAAAAAAATATATTATGTATATTAAATGCTGTTATATATGACAACAAAACAAAAAAAAAAAAAAAAAAAGAAGGTATTCTTTGAATCAAGAGTGATGGTTGAAAATTGGGGTTGAGAGGCAGCACTTGAACAAACTTCAGCACCCATGTGAATGTGGATAAGTGTGGGCCCAATGAGGGGGTGTAATATGGATCAGTGCGGGCCCAGTGAGGAATAGGTTCTGAGTTGTAAATCGTTCCCAACCTGCTCGCCCCGCTGGTTCCCAAAGTTAGCTCCCTCATTTCCCAGAAATCCGATCAGCGGTTACGATTGAATCTGAGTTGCAGCTGCGATCCGACGGTCCACGATGGCGGAGACAGTCGATTGAGTTGGGAGGTTTCGAGAACATAGTTCTACAGCAGAGGAGCACGGACTATTAAACAATGATGGATGGCTGGATGGATGGATGTATATATGGATGAAGAAGTAAATCCCTCCGTCCATCCATCTTTGTTGGGTTGGGGGTGCGATGGGCGTTGTTGTGAGCTCTGAAGCAGCTTGGCTTACCCTTGTGGAATTTCGGTGCCCATTTTCCTGTTGTTGTGGAGGTGGTACGCATTACTCACTTGTTGCGGGTGCTTTGAGGCTATCGGATCGTTGGGTTGTCGACTCTGTCTTCGAAGGTGATGCATTGAATAGGTGATGCATCTTGCTGTCAGTGTTTTCTTTCAAAATTCAGAATCTCGTCCTTGTGATATATAGTCGTTGTGATTTGTTCCGAACTATGGGGAAACCTAGAAGCCGGATTCACGAGTATTAGACCCAAAACACTTGTGTAGCTCGGCTTTGTATTTGGACAGCTTTGGCTCTATAAGGGTGTGTTTGCATAATTGAAGGTTGTTTGGTTGTATTCAGTTCTCATGTAACATCCACAATGTGTATAATGTATCGCTTAGGGATAAGTGTCACAAGTACGTAGAAATTCTGATTCTATAGCACGATTTCGCAATCTAGACGTTACAATCGCTGAAGAATAGACAATTTTGTGGAGTTGTGGAGCGACCGGGTCACTCTAAAGCATTGATAGTAAGTGCCCTTAAAATCTTTTGCTGAATTTGGGAGCGTGGTTACAGTAATTTGGCAGTACGTGAACGTCCTCCCAGAAGAAAGGAGGAGATTGTTACAGGATAGTAAGTTGGAGGAAAGTCATGCAGACATGTGTTATGAAACGAGGACCAGAATGTGTACTTGGATCAGATAATGATATCAAATTTCGACGAGGGCAGAGAGGTATAGAAGAATGCTTTGTGAAGCTGAAAATTAATTGAGGCATTTCGTAATTTAACCACTAGTGTACGAAAAGAGCATTTGTTTTAGGACCACAAATATGAGATGTACCATTTCAGGTTCTTGAAGGACTTGTTGATTGGAGCATTTCCAGTGATGAACAGAGTGATACTCCATCCATAAAGTCTGCATTGAACCTTACTGAAGATAGGAGGTCGTTCGTTAGATATACAAGAGGAATCCACCTTGAAATTCAATCATAGTCCGTGTTGTCAATTCTGTGCATGTACCATATACTTTTCATTGTTTGGCAGTTGTTCAGAGATTAGTATGATCGATTCTTTTTGCCACATTTTTGCAGGATTTTAACAACCACACCAAATCCATCCTCATCGGTAAAGATGGATCCAGGGCAGTTGGTACTTCCAGTGGCAGGAATTATTGCAGCAGCTGCTGTCACCTTCTACGTTGTTAGCTTTCAACAAATGAGTGAGAAGTCCTTCGAAGACTATGAAACTAAGATTGGCAATGACGATGGTTCTCAAACGCAGCTCAAGTCTTCAATGAGTTCCAGAAAGAGAAGAGAGGCAAAGCAGGCTTCAAAACAAAAGAAATGATTCGGTCCTCCTATCTATAGTCAAGCTTCTGTGCACCTAAGCTCAAGTGCTGAAGTAGTACGATGTGAAAAGCTTTATTCCTGTCATGGAGATCACATTTTAGGATAAGTATGTCTTTCAATATCCATGGTGAATTTTGAAATGTTGATCCTTATCATGTCCATATTGCAGTAGACATTTTAGCATGAGATATTCAACATGGTGATGCTTTTTTATATTCATTTTACAAGTATTGGATTTTACACTTTAAGAGTATTTAGATTTGGGCGTTAGAACAATGAGCTTCCAAAAGTATTTTTAGTAATAGAAATAACAGACAGAAAGTGTTGTCATGTATAAAATTTTAGTTTGACATGGTGTTAGATCTAAGGTCTCATTTAGCATCTCAATTAATAGGGTCAATAACAAATAGTGGAAGTACTACAAAGTTTATGTCCATAGAATTTTGCAATTTTGACCACATATTATTATTGATTGCTTGATTTATTTATTTATTTATATTTATTTTCATGAAAAATATGCATGTTTTTTAATCTCATATAGTAGATGTTTGATTTTTTTTACATTCTCATTCTATTTTTAATATTATTTATTTAAGATAAGAAATAAGAATTATATATAATATAAGAAGTGTATATTATTTTTCAAAATAAGAAAACTTATACTTATTTATGAGTATATAATCTTAACCATTCAAATGATAATAATGACAATAATAAAATATTTATAAGTCTTACTATTTTTTAATTTATATAAATAATTGATTACTGAAATAAATGTATTTATTCTTAAAGTTTAAAAATCATATTTATAAAAATATTATAGTCTTAATAAAACATAAAAAGATTATAACATATTAATTTATTTTTAATAAAAAAAACCTTTTATGGACAGACAAATCCTAATAATTTTCAAAAATAAAATTATTTAAGATATACTATTTATTTTATACAAATATGAAAATTATAAAATATTAATATGTTTAATTTATTCACAATATATATATTTCTTTGCAAAACTATGAGATTGCAAATTGATCATGTAATAAGTGTTTTGTTTAGTAAATCAATTATGTAGTAGGTGTTTTGTCTAATAAATAAGTTTGGTGTTTTTAGAGGGTAATTCATATACTTCTGACCTAGTTCCGTCTGACATAAGTGAACACTTCTAAGTTAACTTTAATATCATGTAAGGCTTGTGTGAAGATTTTGATTTGCTAATCAAAGACCTTTAAGCAGAATGAGAATTTAATAGAATAAAAAGACTCTAAGATTGTAAAGGTAGAAAGAAAGTTTGTAATTCATCATTTTTATTCTTATCGATACTATGCCAAAGTTTTATAGACAATGAGTTTTTTTTTTCCAATCTCTAAACAAGTTGAGTTATTGCCTTTTTGGAGGATAAACAACAACTTTAAAAAACTTGGCAATTTGTATATTTTGGCCTTGCAGTCATATTACATCAATAATAAGAGTCTTATTTCAAAGAGTTGGAACTTCTTCCTAAATAATATTATGTGTCCAATAGTAATGTTGAAACTTAAGTGAAGAGATTTTTCTTTGAATCCATTCATGGTACCACACAATATAATTCTCCATAGAAAAATTTCAACATGAAAATATTGGATAAATTATTTCTACTTATTAATTGTGTACATCAAACAAAACCGTAATCCAAAAGAATCACTATTTGAGTATTGAAGATAAATTTATTATAACTTCATAATAAAAGATGTCTTCAAATCTTATTGAAATCTTCAAAATATTGCATATATATTAATTGAGTTCTTAAGTACAAAATCAAATCTATTGTAGTATCAACCTAGAAGTCATCTAAAAATAATTTTATGAATTTTTTGACAACTTTGAAAATAAAAGAAAGAAGTACAAACCATTTTGCCACATTTGCTATATATATGGATCAAGTGGTTAATGACAAGGCATTTTTGAATTCCAAAGCCAAGATCAAAGACCACACATTTATATTCAATGCAATATTTGCAACATGAACATACTTAAAAAAATGCCAACATTGTCTCTACAATTGCCTTTAATTCCAAAAGATACTTAGTATGTTATTATGGCAGAACTTGCTGAAATGAAGAGTGCAATGGTACAAATGCAAGAGCAATTGAGGGAGTTGATATTTGCGATGCATCAACTCAATTTACTACCACAACGAACAACAAGATTGGCAGGAAGTGAGCATATAGAAATGATTGAAGCTACTTCAAGATTTTCATCAAATCATGTCCCTTCTTCTATAGTGGAACAACTTTCCAGTGTTAGAGAACCAAGAATTACCCTATCCAAGAAGTTTGATGGCACCAGATCAAAGTTTAGAGATTTTATCAATCAAGTACAACTTGTGATTGAACTTCAATCCTAAAGCTATCTAACTCCAGGATGGCAAGTTAAATTCATTGGTATGCTTCTTTCAAGTTCAGCATTATCATAGTTTTCATCTTTTCTTGAACAACAAGATCTAATATTGAATAATCTGGATGCTTTTTTGGCAGAGTTTCGATCCATATATGGAGAATATGATACAATTCGTGTTGCAACCAATAAGATCTATATTTTGCAACAAAGCAATCGATCAGTAATGTTGTATGCTTCACAATTTTGATAACTTGTAATTAATATCAAGTAGAATGATGCTGCACTTGTTAGCCAATTTCTCTACAGATTACAATATGAGGTAAAAAAATTAATGCTCAACTTACTTGATCCTCAAAATCCTTTATAAAAAATTAATGCGCAACTTACAATTGTGGATTTGTTTTAAGAATGGCGCCATTATCTAGAAAGTGCTCCCAGCTCAATCACCATGTATACAGATCACAAGAACCTTGAATATTTTATGTCAGCACGTATTTTGAATCATTGCCAAGCCCGTTGGAGTATGTCTTTGTCAAGATTCGAATTCAAGTTCACTTATTGATCAAAAAAATAACAAGGTTTATCAGATGTACTCTTTAGATGATCTTACCTTATACGAAAGGAAGGACATGCTGCTTTCCATCAACAATGGACAATTCTCTTAAAACAAGAGCATCTTCATTTTCGAGCAATGAAATCAGCACTAACTGTTGATTCAACTTTCATTAAGCAAGTTCAGTCAAGTATGTCTTCTGATCCTCTTATTTATGATATTAATGTAAATCCTTCAAAGTCTCATGATACTTCCAAGTTTGAATTCAAGAACAATCTACTATATTTCAAGGGACGCCTATATGTTCTAGAAGGTGAAGCTCGATTATATATTCTTGAAGCTTGTCATAATTTTCTAGCAACAGGACATTTTGGATACAATAAAACTTTGTAACTAATATTTAGGGATTTTTGGTGGCCCCAAATGTGGAAAGCAATCAAAGATTTTGTACAATCTTGTGATGTTTGCTCAAGATCAAAAACTCCTTGTCATTGAATTTACGGACTTCTTCATCCATTATCCATTCTAGAACAACCATGGTCTTTTGTTTCTATGGATTTCATCATGGATCTTCCAATCTCAGGTTCTTATGACTCTATATTCATGATAGTAGATCGTTTTATCAAGATGGCATATTTTGTACCATATACAAAATCTATCACATGTAAAAAAATAGCTAAGCTCTTTTTTGACAATATCTATCGCTATCATGGAATATCCAAGGATATTATATCAGATAGGAGAACTCAATTTGTATCAAGATTTTGGCAAACTCTTTTCAAGATTTTAAAAGTGGATATAAAACTATCTTTGGTATTTTATCCTTAAATTGATGGACAAACGGAGCATGTTAATCAAGTTTTAGAACAGTATTTAAGATGTACCATCAACTACCAATAAGATGATTAAACAACTCTTTTGCCATTGGTAGAGTTTGCTTATAATAACACGATACATTTTTCTACAAAATAAACACTTTTCTTTTCCAATTATGGTTATCATCTAGGACTTGATACTTTTGACTTTTCAAAAGTTGATAATCCTATAGCGAAAGATTTGGCAATTCATTTGTCAGAGCTATATGCAATAATGAAGGCATAATTAAAAAAAGCTCAAGAACAACAAAAAGTTAATGCAGATGTCTATTGAAAGGAATAACCACCATTCCACATGGGTGATAAGGTATGGTTACTTTGTCACAATATCAAGACCACTTATCTTTGTAACAAGTTGGATTATCGAAGGCTTGGATCATTTTCTATTTCTACACAAATCAATCCAGTTGTATATCGTTTATACCTACCAGAATTAATAAAAATCCATCTAGTATTCCACATGTCTCTTCTTGAACCTTAGAAGACAATGGACATACCAAGAAGAAGACAAGCTATACCTCATCCTATAGAAGTGGACAATAATGAAGAGTTCAAAATAGTAGAAGTCTTAAATTCAAGGCGACGTAGAAATAAATTGGAATATCTTGTCTATTGACACAGATATGATATTAGTAAACGCACATAAGAGCCAATAAAGAATCTTGCAAATGCAGCAAAGGCTGCAGAGGCTTTTCATCGACAACATGCACAAAATCAAGATGAAAATCTTCCTTACAAAAGAAATAAGATCTATGCAAGATATCATTCTACTTTCAATCCTTGTTTGTAGCTTCTTTGTAGTTGTGACGTTGAAGAGATGGAGAACCAACAACTAGCGGATTTGATTCAAGAGCCTTCGTTTCTTGACCTGTTAGATGAGACATTATGATTTTCACAACCTTCAAGATGACACAATCGAGATAAAGATTCTCAAGAATAACATGTTCTTCCTTGAATAGATAGCAAGATACAAAGCGTTTGATATCACGACCTTGGAAGAGACTCCCGATGTTTGGTGATATTACTAGAAGTAGGAACAACTCTTGACAATGTTCTAAATGTTTTATTATGAAGGCCTCAACAATGATCAAATAATTAGGTGGTCTTCCTGCCCTGGTATGGATCACTATCGATGATTGAGAAGCCCTATCAACCATCTTCAAAGAGAAAAAAGATCAGAGTATGTGACAAATACAATTCATGGCATCATAGATTTTCTCAATATATGATGATCACTCCTTGTGGAACTCGTCCCTAGAAGGAGGAATAATGTCATGGACATAAGCATGTAAGCCAATAATTACATGTATAAATAAGTAGAAGTAAGTAAAAGCAGATAAAAGTAAGTTAATTCTATTATATCTTCTATGAAAACTTTTTAAAAGCTTTATAAACACTACTTTGACTTTATAGGTGTCTTTAATTGACTTTTTGGATTAGAAACGTGGTCAACAAGTTGGCCATGTGCCACACATGTTGTTAGCTTGAAGACCAAGCTAACTATGTGGCCTACATGTAGAAAAACTTGCCTTGTAAGTCAAGGCATGTATCCTATAAAGTCAATACATATTGGAGGTCCTATAGAACATCGCCATATAGCCCCTAGTTAGATAGTATATATAGAGACAAAAGTGAAGCCCTCTTCACTCTTGTCAATTCCTTTCTTGGTTCTAGTCTAGTTTCAAGGATCTCTAGTTTTCTTGTCTTTTGGCAATAGCCATTCCAATTTCTTTCTTAATATACATATTTAGTCATTTCTATTTTGTCATCTTTCTTTGAGAAAAATCTCATTTGTCTATTTATTTTTATCAAATTCTTGTCCTTAATATATACTCATCTATAAAAATAGGAATATATTTATTTTTTGTAGTATATTATAGAACATAACATAGGTCATTGTGGAAAAATTCTAATGAGTACAAGGTAGTAGATTTAGTTTGTTATAGAATTCTTTGTGACTTTTGCTTAAAATATAAGATGCATAATTTTTCTTAATAAATAGAAGTATGAATACTCTAATAATCATTTGTGGTATGGATATGTGATATGTTGTTTGGTTAATGAAATAGTTCAATCTTCTATGTCACATTTTATGTAAGTCAATAAGAGGATGTTAAATTTGTTTAATTTTGGTAGCTTGGATGATAGTAAGGTGCAATAATGAGATATAAGATATTCCATAATTATTTTTAAGTGGTCAAGCATTTCTTTTGAGTTTTAATAAAGTACTACATTTTTTATCCAAGTTGTTGAATTGGTTGCAAACAACATAAAAGTAAATACAACTAAGATTTTTAATATCATTGACAATACATAATTTTGATATAAACATGAGATTTTTGGTATAAAATTTTTCTATAAATATGAAATTGTAGTATAGATCAAGCATGTACAAAAAAATTGGATAAGATTTTATTGTCAACAATGGCAATTTTTTTGTTAGAAATAAAAATATAGTATCTTTCTAGTATCAACATCAATACTAAAGAAGGTGCTTGATTTAAAGCTCTCTAGTAAATCATGCCACCTTTTAATATGATTAAATGATGAAAAATCCATGAATTAGAATGTAGTGCAATACTCAATAAGATTAGTTTCAAAATATTTTTCTAATGTATAGTAGTCTTCATCGTATTTACTTGTATAAAACTATAAAAGATCATATATTTCAATGAAATGGACTTCAAATTGAAGGCACTATTTAAGACAATGCATGATAGAAACATAAGCTTAAAAGATGAAAATTTGTTTGTCAAATCATTTTGATTCAAATTGAGCTTCTCAATATATAGGCTTGTTGTAATGATGGCATATACTCATTTAACCACAACCACAAGCCATGCTACAATAGTCATTATAACTACCATGAGTTCTTTACTCACATCCTTAATGACCATGATCTTAATAGCCATACATTCAGCAGTTGCATAATTTGATTGTATACATAACTTCATCAATCACTTAACCTTCATGACTTAACATTTTAAAATTATGGAATTTTTCTAAATATATATAGCTTCTTTAATCATCTCTTTATAGTAGCCTATTTTTCTAATACACTTTAATTTCTTTACATTTAATCAATCTTATGTGTATAGGTTGAGGAGTCCTAGAAAAACGTGCACCAAAGTGTGAGATGAAGGTTTCCTAATTATTAAGCAAACTTTGCAAGATTATAAGCATAACTTGTATGGAATCTATTTTAGCATTAATACTTGCAAGCTTGCTAGTGAGATCTTTAATTTATTTAAGGTAGTCTTCTATAAAAGTTCTTTCAGCTATTTTAATATTTTAGAGTTTTTGTTCAATGAGCAATTATTGTTGAAGCAAGTCACTATTATACTGTTGCTTAAATTGGATCTAACACTCAACTAGATCTATATAAAAGACTTCAAAAGTAGTCAAAAGTTTGTTTCATATTATAGCTATAAGAATAGAGAGGACTTTAACAATCTTCTTTTTTCTCTCACACGCAGTCAATTGTGTAGGAGATTTTTCATTTTTAACAAAAAGATTATTGTTCCTAATAGTGGTGTTAGAAATCAATGTTGTTTTAAAGGCTAGCTCATCATAGACCTCATTATGCATGAATAAGATCTTTACACAAATTCTCTGGTCATGTAATTGCTTGCTTCATTGAGCTTGTTGATATCAGTAAATAAATTAGCAAAATCTATGATTAGAATTTTTATAAAAAAAAATAAGAAAGAAAGAAAGAAAGAAAGAAAAAAAAAATCAAGAATGAGTTTAAATGGTGTTGCTACACAACAATTGAATTTATATTCAACTTTTGACTATAAATTTTTAAAGAATGTCAACTAAGGCTTTACAAATATAAAGATAGATATAACAATTGAAATGCCACCTTTATAATAACAATATTAGTACAAACATCTTCTACATACTTTACATAAGTTTTGGTGAGATATCTATTGTTGTAAGATTTTATAGAAGATCCTAAATATCAGATTTACTACATTGGATCAAAAAACTGAACCATGATTAAAACATAACAAATCAAATTAAAAAAGATTTTAGTAGAATAGTAGACATTGGATGAGAAAGTGGAAAGATAAAAGCAATGCAGATTTGGACAATACAATGATAAGAAAGAAGAGGCTATTGAGATGAATTTCCTCAAGCTACAATGGTAGATGCAGTAAAAGTTTAAAGGTTGTTTTGACCAAGTTAGCAACAAACTTCTCACTTCTATGCTAGAATATTTGGCAAAGTAAGGCAAGATTATTTGCAACAAAAGCTACCGATACAAATTTACTACTTCTAAAGATTCTAAGTAAAAATCTAAGAAATCTAATTATTTGAGTTTAATGTCTTCATCAATAAACGCAAACTTAAGTTAATTCAATTGATGCATTTTTTCTTATGCTAAGAATAAATCCATTCTTGCAAACTTTGAAAGTGCAAATACTAATGACATCATCAATTTTGATATTTTGTCTTTGTGTTTCAACTCTAGCACCAATCCATGCAAAGTAGTGGATTCTAAAGCTAATAATAATGATAAATCTCAAAAAGACAAACTAAAAAATAAAATTCAATTTACAAATTACTATAGGCTAAATGCTACTCTACAATTGCACAACAAAGAAGAATTCCATTGTTAAATGGATTCAAGAGCATACATAAGGATGCATATCAATACTTATTGGATGGCACAAGCATTAAGGAGCTAAAACGTTCTTTATTGATGACACAATCTTTACATGATGTATATGTTTGTGGCATTTACTTCCTTGTCTAGATTACTACAACATATGTAATACAATCCTTATACAAGATTATTTTGCAATGTGATGCCCTACATGATCCCTCCAAATTTGCAAGGAACTCTTCAAAACCTTCACTCACATCCAAAGATCAACCAATGCATTTGATGATTTGCAACATAACAATATCAACAATCAATTATAATAGAATGGAAGACAAAATAGTAAAAAATATTAGCTTGCCAATACAAAAGATGGATTGTCAATCTTAGCTCAACATTGGTACTAATAAGAGTTGTGAGCTTGGTTTTGGACCCCTATTGTCCTCTAAGTTTTAGCTCTAATGCCCATATTCATGTCACAGTTTGAATAAATCATCATTGTATCAAAACAAGGTTGTCTATTTTTCTAGTTTATTCTTAAGTGAACTTTAGTTTTTTTGTTTAGAAATTAGATTCTAAAAATTCATTATATTTTTTGTCATTCTTCATTTGATTGATTTTGTATGTTTTGGAATGAAATTACAAGACTCTTTGTTAATTCTTTAGAATTAAACTAATTGTTGTTACAATTACCTTAGAGTGATCATCCAATACAGGTAGTGGGATGCCCAGTGACGCAGCCTATTTTGCCATGTCAACATATTATGAGAACAAACTGCATTCGTTTACATTCTGTTCTCTCTCCAACGGCGCATGTTTCGGCGCACCACGGCTAGATTGGGCAGACTTGAGGAAGACAAGAATTCGAGCTTCAATTGTGCAGTGAAAATCTACAACGGAGCAAAATCTGCATCATGATGTGCCTGGAACAAAGTTTAATCAGACTTGGATCTGAAAACCCGGTCAATTTGAGTGGGGTTTTGATAACATCGCAGTGATTCTTTCGGGACATTTTCGGTGAGTGGATTGGCGTCGCCACTGCGATTTGGAGGAAACACAAGCAGCACGCATCGACGATTTACAGTGGAGTGAGACTATCTCTACGGTATAAGAAATTCCGACTTGGAGGCCAAACATTGAAACAAGTCTTACTGTTGGTTTGCTCCAATCAAATACTGAAACTACTCAGGCCAATGTGGCACACTACATCAAGCATATTCCTCGGTAGTGTCTATAAGATTATACTCGTGTGAAATGGAGAGAGGGGTATCCTTCGACACAGGCCGTTCTTCGGACCAGAGCTCAAGCGTGACAGATCCAGGACCCCATTTGACGTGACACAGTTCGACTTCCTTGACGTCAAATGTGTTGACAATTGCTAGGCCAGTTTCTGAGTCTAGTAGCATCCATTCACCTGCACAAGGTCATCGAAATTAAGATCGAGTACACCGAATAGAATAGCCAACACGTAAGTCGAGATCAGAGTCGAGCAATTGCAAGATTATGCAAGTGACTGGTACAAAGAAGCCCAATCAAAATAGACCACGACTACAGAAAGACGCAGATGTTCTTACCATTAGGCCTATCGGAACCTAGGATAGAGAAATCGTCGAACGTCATGTTCGGCTTCAGCTCACGTGCCGTTCCATCTATAGCTGTATATTTAATATAAGATGCCATAGGGTGCACGATCTTGAACATAGGGTGAATGCGCAAACGGACAAGCCTGGAGAAGCCACCAGACCCAGCACCGACTGACCGTGCAACGATGCTAGAACTGATCTTGACCTTGTTCAATGAGTCACGAGGGAGAAGAATTTCCCGAGCCAGTACTAATCCACCACCAATGTCCCCTTCCATTCCAAGAATCTCGTAACCCATTGTTTGAGCAAGTTCACGCCTGAATCATCCAATAACCCTGCAATTAATGGAATGTTCTAATGACACTATACTCAAGTTGCACTTAGCACTCTAAACACGAACACGTGCTGTTTGAATGGACATACTTCACAACTTTGTATTCTTCGTTCCAGCCAGACGACCGGAACTCGGTGCCACTGAACTCCTCATAACCACCGTTCTCTAGTCTTCCTTCCATCCAGTCGTAGCCGGACGGCTTGTGAATCATTGACATTATGTGACCACCAAGCCAAGGCACCACCTTCACAAACACGTTTCCTTTATCAAGGTCTTCGGGCATCTTGACAGCTCCCACTCCCATTATTGGATGACGGCCTCCATAAGCCTCCTCCAACGAACTCTGTATTCTTTCTGTAATGAATTGCACTAACGGGTTAATATTAATTCTGCACAACTTCTACCCATACCAAACACGCTAACAGCAGACATCGGAATGGCACTTAGAAGAAAAAACGAACAGCTCATCTAAGCGTGTGGATGGCACAAACCTAAATTACTCGACCCGATCTCACGATTCATCTCAATTGACCTGTTGATTTCATTCTCCGTCGGTAATTGGATTGTGAGCTCCTCTCCATCAATACATTCACCCTCTACCTATTCACTGTAGATTTAGTAACATTACATAGCACATGAAAATAAATAAATAAATAAAATAAAATAAAAAATCATAGCAATTCAAAGTGGTATACTTGATAATATAAGTAGCATTAAAAATACCTGAACGTTTTCGCCGACCAAAAGCCGCACATGAAGCGTGCGCTTGGGCCTCTCACGTCGACCCTCGGTAGAGGCGACACGAATCATTATTTTTCCATGCTTGGTATCTGCAGCTTGCACCGTCCTTGCTTCGTAGTGGGTAATCAGGTAATCACCATTCTTATAGCCGAAACCATCACCATCATCTTCATATAAAACTCCAGTTGCATCTCCTGGTTGGACGAAAGTACCAAGTGTGAGAGAGCAGTGAAAGAACATAACCATCCCAAACAAAAATGTTATTCATCAAACCCAGGACGTGAACGCACTCACCTTTACCATCCAGAGCGATCAAAAGAGTGACTGTATCAGTTGGGCTAGCTTCAGCAACACACTGAATAACCGGTCCGGTCGGTATAATAGACCCACCCTTAAGAAAGAGCAAAGGCAATTCCTGAAAAACTCACGAGAGCTCGTCAGTAAGCAGCCTCCGTTTAGCCGAAGTGTTCATCCAGAAAGAAAACCACCAATCAGTCAATATCAACTCACCTCGGAAAGAATAAAGAAATAAAAGTACGGATAAATACAACTTGTTAGGTGTTCACGAGCTACACACCGGATGATCATCATCGAAGTGGAACCGCTGCCAGATTCCCTTAGGTAACTCGAAAGCTGCATTCGAGTCTCGATTCTTTGGTGTAGGCCTGCACAGAAAATATGCAGCACCGCGAGGATATCGTCAGATCATTCCACCACAAACACAAAATCATATGTCCTACTGAGCATCCTAAGAGAATTGTGGGCATCGGTGAATGAAGTCAAGAATCAAAATACTTTGAGGGTGCTGCACACTTACCAAGTCTTAACAAGAAGGGAACCAAGCAGGAAGCTATCATCTACCTTGCGAAGTTTCGGATCTGTGGGGTCTGTTCAAGCGCCAAGTAAGAGTTGGGAACATTCGAAAACATAGAGCATTCCAAGAAGTTTTTCGAAACAACCTAGTAAAAACAAGTCGCGAATAAACGAAAGCTACAAAACATTCGAAAAAGTACAGACCAGCGAAAAAGACGGGAGTCATAACAGGCACTCCTGTCGTATGCGCCTTGTAAAAGAGAGTGTAGAAATGAGGTAGTAGGCGGTAACGTCTGTTCAAAGCAAATCTCGACAGATCTTCCACCTGCAACAAAAAACTCATTGTCAAATACACTCAAAAGGGGGAAAATGAGTAAAATCTTTAATAAGGAGCATTATTTTCGATTGTAAAATACATGAGACTACCAACAAAACATCTCTATACGTGGGTATTGAAATTCCACAAAGTTTGAAGTAAACCTCAGGACCAAAGGACCAAGGTTCCTGGTCAATAGTTCCTTGTTCAGAATGTCCTCTAGCAAAGGGAAGCATAGCTCCAAGTCCCATCCACCGAGCAAACAATTTAGGAGTAGAATCTCCAGCAAAACCACCTATATCCGGACCACTGAAAGGTTGACCACTCAATCCCTGCAGAAGACAACATGTCAAGTACCAGAATGAATCAATCGAGAAGTCCAGTCTAATAGATTTTGGCATACAGCTATCTCTATCTTGGTAAGGAACGAGATTAGTTTCGCAGGCGTTCTGAGTAACAGTGAGATAAGAGTTCAAGTGCAATAAAAATAATACTCAAATCGTACCAGATTGAGTGTCATGGGAATACTCATCCAAAGATGTTCCCAGTTCGCAAGGTTATCCCCGGTCCAAGTCGCTGCGTATCTATGAGAACCAATAAATGCTGCTCTGGTCAACACAAATGGTCGTTTGTTCTCATTCGCCAGTAACATGCCTTCATATGTTGACCTTGCCTGAAACATGCCATATACCTGGATTGAACAGAACAACAAATATTCAATGGTACACAATAAAAAAGCTTCTCTAATGACCTTTAAGGTCGCACTGCAAATTTTAGAACATCACTGTAAAAGATTCACGTCAAAAACCATCACGGCGCTTAGGAGATAGACTATCATTGAATGCTGTGAGAATCATGAATGCGTACATTATGATAGTGAGAGTGATCCTGACGACCGCCAACTTCCTCATCTCCTCGATGAATGTTGGTCTCAGGCATAGTCTTGGATACAGTCTGCGCGTCTCCAAAACCACATCAAATCTATTGAAACATGTGGAACACAATCACAAAATCCAGGGGTAATCTTTCATTTGGAAATGATCACTTAATTCAAGTGACAGCAACCTCAGAAAACCGTGACCAAAACAGAATACAACCCATAGTATAGTATACATTCAGAAGAGAGTTATTTCTGACCTTGAAAACTGCTGGTTCATTCATATCGTTCCAAATGCCATCCACGCCAACGGGAACAAAATCTTTGACAAGTTTCGCCCACCACTCGCGCGTTCTCTTGTTTAAGAAATCAGGGAATACAACTGGCCCCGGCCAGCATTCGCCTGAACACACAAAAAACAAGTAAACTCTACTGCAAAAGAAATTGATTCAACTCAAAGGACCAAATACGGCCAGACGGAAATCAATTCGCTCTTGGGAGATCGCTCATCATCATCCGCACCAAAACAACAAATGCATTTTAGTGGACCTAGCCCTCTTCATAAAAATACTTACCCACATAAGGCTTGCCATCAGCAGTCTGTATCCAAACATCTGCCTCACACCCAAGATCATACGCTTTATATCCCTTGTCAGCCATGATTCCAGGGTCGAGCATCCAAACACCCTTGAAACCCTTGCTGTGCAATTCATCGGACAGTCCCTTCGGATCTGGAAACGCATCCTGAAATCCAACCAGAAGATCGTTGATGTTACACACCGCTCCAACGACCTCCCTCTGCTACAGAATCATTATCGATTACTGATCCGTGATGTGATCGCTAGCCCTTGATGCACAGAACTGCGTACCTTGTCGAAAGTAAAACATCTAAACCCTTGCATGTAGTCAATATCCATCCACAAAACATCACATGGAATCTTCTTCTCCCGGAATGTTGTAGCCACCTGAGTCCAGCACAGTAACCATTCAATCATGGATGAAACACCCGCTCAATCAACCCCAATCACCAATATCGCGCACAATTTATAAAATCTCCACGTGCCACAAGTCCAGGGATTGAACCTCGGCGACTCTAGCTGCTGTTTCATAACTCCATCTGCATTGTTGATATCCAAGTGCCCACATCGGGGGCAGTTGCATAGTGCCTGCAACAACAACGAACGTAAGCACCACTGATATCCATCGTTACGAAATGAAACCCTTCAAATTTTCACCCTTCTCATTCTCATGTTCGTGGGCCAACTTACCGATGGCATGCGATAGGGAAGTCATAAGCGCTTCAGGAGTAGGAAATGGTCCAAATGTAATCACAGGAAACGGAGCTGCAGCCATAATTTTGATCACTGCTTCTTTTCTCAAATCAATCTGCACAAACATTGATCAATCAATCTGTCAACGCACCCAAGTTTGCTGGGCAATCACCTCTTAAATCATTTGATCAATCACACTCCGAAAACCACATTTGTCAACTTCAAGTTTGCTCATACAACTGAGATAACTTCGACAACTCACTTCGCACCGCCTGGTCGTGTCGGCTAAGACTCCAAAAGCCTGCCCATTCGGAAGTACAGAAAATACCCATGGATGAGACTGATACAAAGAAGTAGTGTTCTGGTTGTAGCCCCATGCATCAGTATTCCACGAATAAATCTGCACAGCACAACAGCTCACCAAACATTATTCTTAGACCCTCCAGGGAACAAGAGCCACATTAGTCTTCGAAAACCTGTACATTTACAGATGCTAGGACTAACCGCTGAGAGTAAATAGCGTAAAAGAGCAAGGGTGTACCCGCTTTCCGGTGCGCTCAACAGAACCACCAACTTCACCAGTGCCATAAAAGGTTGTTCCAGATGGAAGCTGCACAATAGTAGCACATTCAGGATGTTCCGACGTAAAGAAAATAAATTATTCATGACCATTAGACTTGTGTTCCATGTGACAGTCTCAATTAATTGAAGGACTACTGTGACCTGATTCCAAGTGAGACTGTCAAATGAGAACAGGATTGAGATGATTGGATTACATGATAATGAACAACGACAAAAGAGTAGGCCGACCATACAAAAGTATCACGTTCCCCCTCTAAATGGACACTCGAAAATTACTTACCTGCAGCGTAACAATTTGATTCGCGCCGTCGGAGTCGAATGCAGGGATGAACTCTGGTTCATTACTCTCAACCTTGATTTCTTCCTCTCGCAAACATGGATTTAAACAAGAAACAGACGGCGCCGCTTCCTTTCTAGCGAGTTCCGACTCATCGAAGCGGAAGACAGACTTCTCTATTATGGACAAGCAAGCTGGAATCATGGAGGCAGGTGCGATTCTCCTCGACGACGTGTCCTGAGCGTCGGTAGATACAGCCCTCAACGCGCTCAATCTAGGAGGCCTTATGTGTTGAAATTTACTATACTTGCCCGATCCAATTACAGAGGAGAAAACTGCAATCAAAAATCCCCAAACCGTAATCATCTCGTAAGGCCTCCACTTCATCAACAATGGGAAAGCATAACAACAAACATGTTCCTCACGCTACCAGCGGCTATGGGCGATTTTTCAACCAGCACATTTTACTGCACCCAACATCCAAAAACCATCTCAGATAAGCCATGTAATGTAAAGGATGTAACTTAAGACTTCAGCTCGCAGCTCTGATAACAGGAGCAGCGACGCGCTGCCAAGTCCTTTTGGTAAGGAGTAAACTCAGAATACAACCCCTAATTAATCCTTAAAGCGATACTACTGGTAAAGAACCTGATCAACTACCTACAGCAAGAGAGATCTCCAAATGGTATTGGCCTGAACTTCCGAATTATGAAAGAATCAGAAACCAAATAATGGCCAATTAAACCACGATCCCCAAATAGGATTCAAGTCTCAAAACTACGGAATGTGCCTTCAGTGAGCTAAAACAAGACGGATTCACAACATTGTCACACGTGGATTTCAAGGAGTTAACGTTTAAGAGAGCACCGCTACTTCAGATCCCCGGAGTGGTCAATGAAGTAATCCAAGCAAATATGTGCAGCACGTAACCAAAAAGACATCAAATCAATTCCATACATAAACAGCGTATCCTCTACAAAAAATAATTACGCGACTGCACAACCATTCAAAGGCTATTAGGATCCACACAAACATTTGCCCGCGCCGACAACGATTCCATCTCGGTCATGCTGGCATCAAACTATGTAACAAAGCTCAAAAGAAGTCAGACCAATCGCGTTCAACCAAAACCAGCTAGCTACGGCAAGCACTCTACTCACCTGGATTGGCAGAAAGAAAACTCCGTCTCGACCAGAATCCAGACCTGCCACAGCAAGCAGCGACGCCCGAAGCAAGCTGGTCGTGCCCACTGACGCTTAGATTGCAAGAGCGCCGACGAGTCCAGCACAAGTGCGAGAGAGGGCGGGAGGGAGAAGAGAAACAAAGTGCAGAAGCATTGAGGGGGAAAGAGGGCGAGAACGGGAGGAGCGACGGGTGTAAATGAAGTGCTCCAGCAGCACTCGGAGGTAGTTGATGCAGACAACACAGCAAGATCTGGAACATGGCTATCTAAGACGACAACCTTCACACACAAACAACAGTAGGCTTGCTTGCTTGCTCCGAAATCACGGAATAGTTCCTTGGCACGAGGTTACACACTCCCAATCGAATTACCAAAACTAGCTCCCCTCTCCCCCTTCACAGCAATGACTCCGCAATTCGATTCGGCACAAGTGCTCTCAGCAACTCAATCCAAATTGTCACGAGCTGAGAAGTGGTCGGTTCAAATCCACAACGGGGACAAAAACCCTAATGAACCGGAACCAAAAATCTCCCGCACTCAATCTCTTTCCAATGATTTTTATGCGCCTTACACGATCCAAAAGCACCAAAAAGGACGCAAGGTGTTACTTTTCATCATGACGCAATGCAGTGGATGTGTCGCCACTCGCAACAAAGAGCTTTTCGATTGCCGGTCCACGGTGCACAACTGCGAGGGTGCCGTGCACGAATCCCATTATACACCGCAAAAGAGGGGAGAGTCACGTGAGCGGCATGAGAAGAGCAAATCCATGTCCAAACGCTTTCACGCGCCTCCCTATTGGCACCGAATCGGAAGCATCGAGTGAAAATCCCATGAACACTGTCCAAAAAGCTTTCACGGGGCTCCCTATTGGCATCGAATCGGAAGCATCGAGTAAAAATTCCATGAACACAGCTCAATGCGACGAGGAAAATAGCGATTCACTAGGTGCAACAATAACAAGAGCGACGCAGGAGGGCGAGGAATGATGCGCCGTTGGTAGTTAGTTACCCGCATTACCTCGTTGGTCTGGATAAATGAATGAATGAGGCACCGCTCCACCCTTCTCATGGATGACTTTCATCTCTTTCGCTTTCATCCACTGCAGGGTTTCAAGCTTTTGTCGGAAGTACGAAGGAGCATTAACAGTGGGTGGCCAAAGTCCCAGTTTTTTCATTCTAGTGTTCTTCCACTGACTGGCTTCCATGCTTCAAAGGACATGAAAAAGTGTTGGCTTTGTTGTTGTGGATAATGAGAATGTTTGGAGAGACACAAGAGTAGTTGGAAGTAATGTGTACATATACACAAGAGAGTATATAGAAGGAGAGAGAGCTTCTTATTTGTGTATTGAGGTGGTTATCTCATTGTATACAAAGAAAAGGGAAGAAGTTAACTACTCCTCCTCGCTCATCATAATATTTATATGACATAAAATTTGCATATAATTATGACCTATACTTTTTTGTAATCTTACAAGATCAATATTTGTTGCCTTATTAAAACCTTATTTGAGAAATTTTTATTATATTCAAGAGAAAAACTATAGATGAAGGAAAAAGAGTACAATATCATTTTTTTTTATTATTTAAAGGATTCATTAACTTTCTTGCTCAAGAAAAGCAAGTTGCCACATGCAAATATTTTAAATAAGTTGATAATGGTTGCACAAAGGGAGAGCTTTGGTGAGGAGATCAACAAGGTTATTTGCAGATTCAATTCTCTTGATCTTAAGTGCTTGATCAATAACCTAGTCATAGGTATAACAAAAAATACTTTAGATCAATAGGCTTTGTCATGTTTCCTTTAATGAAATCAACTTGTATTTATACAACACAAGTACTATTATCTTTATACAAGATAGTTGGAGAATCATCATATAAAATTCCACAAGTTGACTGAATGAATTTAATAATTGATCACAACTAAATATATTCTCGAGATGCTTCATATAGGATAATAATTTCTATATGGTTGGATGAAGTTGCAGTTATAGTTTGTTTCACTAATTTTCTTAATGTTGTAGCACTATGTCTTAAAAATACATAGCTTGTTTGATATTTAGTTGTTGTGATATTGTCAAGGACAAGAACTTGATAAAAAAGTAATTCAGTCAAGTGAGGCTTCACTCAAAGAAAGATAATAAAATATAAATAAATAAGTTTATATATTGAAAGAAAAATTGAAATGGCTATTGCCAAAGACTAGAAAACACGAAGACTCTTGAAACTAGATTGGAAACAAGAAGGAAGTTGACAAGAGTGAAGAAGTCTTCATTCTTATCCCTATATATACTATCTAACTAGGGGCTATGTGGCGACGTTCTATAGGACCTCTAATATGTATTGATTTTGTAGGACACATGCTTTAACTTACAAGGCAAGTTTTTCTACTTGAGGGCCACATTGCTAGCTTGGTCTTCAAGCTAACAACATGTGTGGTACATGGCCAACTTGTTGGCCACGTTTCTAATCCAAAAAGTCAATTAAAGACACCTATAAAGTCAAAGCAGCATCTATTAAGCTTCTAGGAAGCTTTTATATCAAATATTATAGAATTAACTTATTTTTATCTACTTTTACTTACTTCTACCTATTTATATATGTAATTAATGGCTTACATGAGTATGTCTGTGACATTACCCCCTCTCTAGGGACGAGTTCCAAGATGAACGATCATCATATATTGAGAAAATCTATGATGCGACAAATTGTATTCACCTCATACTTTGATTTTTGTTCTCTTCGAAGATGATTGATAGGGCCTCTCAACCATCGATAGTGTCTCATATCAGGGCCGGAAGACCACCTAGTTATTTGATCATTGTTGAGGCCTTCATAACTTCCTTTGAATAAAACATTTGGAACACCATCAGGAGTTGTTCCTACCTCTAGTAAAATCACCAAACATCGGGAGTCCCTTCCCAAGTTGTGATACCAAACGTGTTGTATCTCGCAATCTATTTGAGGAAAAACATGTCATTCTTGAAGATCTTCATCTCGATTGCGTTATCTTAAAGGTTGTGACAATCGTAATGTCTTGTGTGGTAGGTCAGCAAATGAAGGCTCTTGAGTCGAATCTGCTGGTTGTTGGTTCTCCATCTCCTGAGCGTCACAACTACAAAGAAGCTACAAACAGGGATTGAAAGTAGAATGTTATCTTGCGTAGATGTTGTTTCTTTTATAAAGAAGATTTTTATCTTGATTTTGATGGATTTTGTCGATGAAAAGCCTCGTCCATCTTTGTTGTATTTGTAAGATTTTTTACTGGCTCCCATGTGCATTCACTAATATCATATCGGCACCAATGGACAAGACATTCTAATTTATTTTGGCACCGCCTTGAATCTAAGACTTCTTCTACTTCAAACTCTTCATTATTGTCCACTTCTATAGGAAGAGGTGGAGCTTGTTGTCTTCTTGATATGTCCACTGTCTTGTATGGTTCAAGAAGAGATACGTGGAATACTAGATGGATTTTCATTGACTCCGGTGTCGTGTTGTGGTTCGGCTATTATATGAAAATAATGTAATTATGTACTTAATATATAATTTATTAAGTAACATGGTAAAAGTTTTGTTAGTAGATTTTAGTTGGTTGTAGATTATAATTTGATTATTATCCTGAGAAGAGGTTGTTTAAAAAGACTACTATAGAATTTTTATACCTTTAATTTCCTTTTTGATAGTGGCTTTTAAAATTGGTTTAGTTCATAGTAACTTCTAAATATTTAGAGTTACCTTTGTTAGACATTGGTGACCTTTGAAAACTTTTTTTGGTTCTTTTATTTGGTGTTTAGAGCATAAATTATGTAAATCTTATAAGAAAAAGGATTGAAGAAGGGTTTTGGCAGCAAAGAGAGTAATTACGGCACCAATATAGATGAATGGAGATGAATGATGAAAATCTCCATTCCTATTGGTCAAAAATCATGACCAATGGGCTTTGAGGAGGCTGCCCGAGGCTTTATTAGGGATTAGGGTTAGTTTCTCGGCCCCATTTGAATTTTGAAGGCTATGATCAAAAGATTTAGGTTTTTGGCTATGGATTTGGTACAAGTTTTGTGTCATTTGGGATTTTTATGAAGAAGTTATAGGCGCTTAAAGTTAAGGTGTTAGTTTTGGACCTACTATCACTCTTTTGGGCTTAACGAACGCATACGGATAGCAATTGAGGATCGGCGACTGCGAATGGAGAGAGCACTTTTGCGGCTACACTTTTTACATACTGCTTACTGGATTACAAGTTAAAAGTGAAGGAATTATTGGATTTTGAAGTCAGTGCATGCAATCTAAAGGTAGTAAGTAATCTGATTTGCTAGTGGTTGTCTCTTGAGCTATATCTTGAGCAATTTGACAAGATTTTGACTCAAAATTTCAGAGAATGTGTAATTTAATGTTAATAAATTTTGTGCTTAAGTTTTATAACATTTTAGTACTAGATTCTTGAGATATTAAGAAAATAGTGTTCGAGTGCTTATAAATTAGGGTTTAGAGCATCTGCTAGGATTTCTTAGATGTCGAAAGATTGGAAGTGAATTTGTGGTTGATTTTATTTTGTAATAAAAGTTAAGAATGACTTCTACCTATCTTGTAAATTTGAGACAAATTGAACGGTTAGATCAATAGTTATGATTTTTTAAATTTTAGGGCAAGAAAATCCTTCGCAGGAAAAATATGTTTTGAAGGGATTTTGTAATATTTGGAGTTTTATACAAAAATAAAGGAATTTTCGAAGCTAAGACAAGAATCATATAAAGGTTTAAGCTACATTGTCTATAGTTAGATATCCAATATATTTCCAGATAGCAAATCATGCCATACGACACTGGTAGATATAAATGATATGCAACTGGATTGATTTGTGCAGAAATAGAAAATGGTCCAAGCCTTCGATAGTCCAACTTGTCATAAGGACTAGTGGTCTTGATATTACAATGAAGTAGCCATACTTTATTACCCAAGTGGAATGGTGGTTGTTCCTTTTGATAGACATCCGCATTGATCTTTTTTTGTTCTTGAGCTTCTTTTAACTGCACCTTCATCGTTGTATGTAGCTTTGACAAATGAATTGCCAAATCTTTCGGAGCAGGATTATCAACTTTTGAAAAGTCAAAAGTATCAAGTCATAGATGATAACCATAATTAGCAAAGAAAGGTATTTGTTTTATAGAAGAATATACCGTATTATTGTAAGCAAACTCTGCCAATGGCAAAAGAGTTGTCCAATCAACTTGTTGATAATTAATGGTACATCTTAAATATTGCTCCAAAATTTGTTTAACACGCTCTGTTTATCCATCAGTTTGAGGATGGAATGCTGAAGATAGTTTTATATCTACTTTTAAAATCTTGAAAAGAGTCCACCAAAATCTTGATACAAATTGAGTTCTCCTATCTGATATAATATCCTTGTCACGGACATACATATAATTACCTATATGAATAGATAAAAGTATGTAAAAGTAGATAAAAGTAGGTTAATTGTGTAATATCTTCTAGAGAAGCTTCTTAGAAGCTTCATAGACGCTGCTTTGACTTTATAGGAGTCTATAGTTGACTTTTAGGCTAGAAACTTGGTCAACAAGTTAGCCATGTGCCACACATGTTGGAAGCTTAAAGAACAAGCTAACTACGTGGTCCATCCATAGAAAACTTGCCTTGCAAGCAAAGGCATGTGGCCTAAAAAGTCAACATATATTGGAGGTCTTATAGAACATCGCCATGTGGCTTCTAGTTAGATAGTATATATAGAGGCAAGAGTGAAGCCCTCTTCACTCTTGTCAACTCCTTTCTTGCTTCTAGTCTAGTTTCAAGGGTCTCTAGTTTTCTTGTATTTTGGCAATAGCCATTCCAGTTTCTTTCTTAATATACATATTTCTATTTTGTCCTATTTCTTTTTGAGAAAAGTCTCACTTACTCTTTAGCTTTCATCGAGTTCTTGTCCTTGACAGATTGACAAGAGTA